CCCTAGTGTTCAGTACAGAATTCTGGAAGTCTGGGGTAGGGGGAGGTCACAGCCATATCCCAAATCCTTTGCCAGTCCAAGCTGAGGACTTGCCCCCAAGAGAGGAAATGACAGTGGAGTCATTCCTGCCTCCCCAAGGACATGTCCAGACCTGTCTCGGCCAAAGCACAGGAGCCTGGGTGGGAAGGCAGTGCTGTGGGGCTGCACCCTGTGCCCCTTTCCCCAGTGTCTCCCAGACCTCCCTTCTCAGGGTGTCCCACAGCCACGGGGCAGGGCCTCCTCCCCCATCCGGCTGGTGACCAGGGGACTGTGTGCTGGACGCAGCCTCTGGGTAGGCAGCACCAACGCAGAAGTGAAAGAATGAGGGGTTTCAGAATTAAAGGGCAGAAAACCACACCCAGGTTAAACCTCAGAGTGCACAGCACACCCACCCATGGAGGATGACAGGTGAGAGTCACGACACATACTCTGTTTAGAATGAAATCGAGACTTATTGAGAGAAGAGGCAGCTTGAGCCTGGGACACTGATTCTCAAAAGTGAAAGTCATAGTAGAAGTCAGAGTTTCAGAGACTAGCAGTTATGGGTATAGTTATAGGGCTAAACCAAGAGCTTAGGTTACAATATTCCAATTGGTACTTGGTGAGGTAAGGTAGTTTTGAGTGGGATATTTGGAAGCAAGACTTTTGCTAGGATTGGTTTTCAGAGTATATATGGATTATGGGGACTGGATACAGTACATGCTGGCAAGAGGGTCACAAGACAGTCACAGATGAGTACATGTGGATTTTCTGGAGAACAGACGGTATAGATTAACTTGCTTAGGATAAAGTTCTTTTGAAAACATCTTACATGAAGGGTTTCTATATACTCCCTTCCACTGGATTCACATGATATGCTTTTGACATTCAGGAGAAAAACATTCCCTTGGCTGCATGACTAGATCAGTTTTGGTAGCCTAGCTACAGAGAAAAACGTTCACTTGGCTGCATGATTAAGTCTGTACAAAGGCTAACTGTTGCTAAGGCAAAAGCTGTTGTTGTTGTCACGTGTCGTCGAGTTGGACCTGACTCATAGCGACCCCTCCTTGGGTTTCCAAGGCAGTATCACTACTGAAGTAGACTGCCCAACCTTCCTTCCAAGGAGTGGCTGGTGGGTTTGAACTGCCAGCCTTCTGGTTAGTAGTCAAGTGCTTTAGGCACTACACTACCAGAGCTCCCTTAAGGCAAAAGCAGAAGTTACAAAATAGAGTGGGGCCCAGGCCTGAACCAACCAGTTCAGATATGCCAGGCACCTCAATTTTAAAAGCCCCTATGCAGTATATTCTGTGGTTGGTGGTTATTTCCTTTTGGATGTACTCTCTTAGGATGGGAGGAGCTCTGGTAGTGTAGTGCCTAAGGCATTTGACTACTAACCTGAAGGCTGGCGGTTCAAACCCACCAGCCACTCCTCAAAAGGAAGATTGAGTGATCTACTTCTATAGTGATACCACCTTGGAAACCCAAGGAAGCGTCCCTGTGAATCGGATCTGACTCGAGGGCAGTGAGTTTGGTTTGGTTTTTTGGTATCTTAGGATGGGAGGGATCCCCAGGGACCCAGAACTGGGAGGACCAGACAGAACTTTCCAGACGCAACAGACGGACACTGGGATCAACTGGAGTCTTCTGACCACTACTCCCCCAGCTGCACCCTCTGATGCTGGGCCCAGGGTCTGTAGGCCTGGGGGTCTGCCTATTGAATGAACTTATCCGGCCTGCCATGGTTGCCATGTGTGGGATCTCTGAGAGGAGGGAACCTTGAGGGATTTCTAAGATGCAATTTGGGAGAGTGAAAATGGGATAGGTTTTGTAGAGGAAGGAAGTGAAGAAGCTTGTGTGTGGGGTGGAAAAATATCTTTACCCATCTGTGGGTTAGTATAGCCTCTCTTGAAATTCAACCACTGTCCTGGGAAAACCTGGGCCAAGGTCTTCACCTAGACCAGACGGGCGCAAGTACCTGTGAAGTACTAGATGCTTTTCACTAAAACTCCCCCAAGGCAACCTCTCTGCAAATAGGGTCCTCCCTGCCCCCAAGATCCTCTTGCAAGAGTCCCTACCCCTCAATGACTCCGGGACCCACACAGTAGGTTCCCAAGCCTCTATCCTGGGGAGGAACTACGATCTGCTAAAATTAATTGTCATCATGTTAACCTCTGGGTGAGGGAACTGCTTTGAGATGAGTTGTACGTGTCTTTTTTTTTTTTAATCAAGAAACACAAATTGTTGAAGCTCATCTAGTTGTCAGTTAGTTGCCAAACGTAGACAGATGTAATGACAAGTGTGTCAACTACAGACCAAGATAGTGTCAGCGAGACTGTTGAGTTCATGGAAGGGGTCTTGTTTCCAAAAGTCGCTCCAAGTTATGGTGAGACGTTGCTGGAGCAGGAGTCATGGGTATATTGCCATTTTCTTGTCATATCGCTCCCCTCACACACTGCCTGTCTGGCCTCACCCTCCTCCTGGTGGGAAATATTGTTTATTTGCTATGTCACCTATTGGCCCCCTGACCATATCTCTCCTCCTCTTTTGAGGTGTTCATCTACCTGTCAGCTTGAAGAAGCATCTCTATGCTACATGTTCAACACTGAGTTCTTGACTTCACCATCACCCCCAAGGACCCTCCTCTCACCATCTTCCCTGTCTCGGTCCCAGCAATTCCAACCTTCCTGGTGCTCAGATCTTGAACCCATCCTGCCTCCTCCCCTTCCTCCCATAGGTTCTCAGTCCATCCATGCATGCCCTCTGACTTGACCATAAAGATTTGTCCAGAATCACCTTTGTACCACCTCCACAGTCCAGCACCACTATCTCCCTCAGGTTATCACAGCACCTATCACCATCAGCATCCACCTGGGCCAGCTATCTGCCTCTTCTCAGGGCAGCCGCCAGAGGGCATCCTGTGACAAGTCAGGTCCCAGTACTTCTCTACTGGAACGAGCACCTGCTCATTCCAAAAGGAAGCCAGAGTCATCAAAATAGCTCACAGGGCCCTGAATGCCCTTCCCTGTCCCCTCCTGTCTTCCTTTCCTTTTCTCCCCCTCGCTCACTCTGCTCCAGCCACACAGGCCTCTTCATGGTTCCTCCAACTTGCCAGACATAGTCCTGTCTCGGGGACTTTGCATGGACTGTCCCCTCTGCCTGGAAGGCTCTTCTCCCAGGTCCCCCCATGGGCAGTACCTCCTTATCCTCCAGTCTCTACTCACATGTCACCTCCTCCAAGAAGCCCTCCTGACTTCCCTTGCATAGTCAGTTTCCATTTCTTCCCTTCCCTCCCATCTTTCCCTTTCCCCCTCGCTCACTCTGCTCCAGCCACACAGGCTTCCTCACGGTTCCTTCAACATGGCCAGGCACAGATCTGCCCCAGGGCCTTTTCATGGTCTGTTTCCTCTGCCTAGATTGCTCTTCCCCTAGACACCCACACCCCCTTCACTATCCCTCGCTTCCTTCAGGTCTTTCCCCTCCTCAGCACTTCCGCAGTGACCCTTCTGTAACCCCCTCCCTAATTTAAAGTCACAGTTCTCCCTTTAGCCCCCTCCATGCTAGAGTCCCATCCCCTTTAATTTTTCTCAAAGCACTTAACACCGTCTCTCATGTTATACATTTTTCTTATTTACAGTGGATCTTTCCCCAACAAGAACAGAAGCTTTACGAGGGCAGGAGTTCTGGTTTGTCTTCCTCACTATTGTATCCCCAGCACGTAGAACAGAGCCTGGCATGAAGTCACTCTTGAAAATCGTGTGATGAATGAATGGCAGTATGAGTGTTTAAAGTAAAATTATATCGACACAAAGCAAATATTAGAACTCTCAGAGTTGCTTGCTGGAATATGGCACAGCAAGAATCTAGCTTGCTACTGGCCAGTCAGGAGCCAATGTCAGGAATATTCCCCCTAAGGGGCTAGGTAGGGTGGAGTATGAGTCTGATCTTTAAGACCCTGCTTGGTGATCTGCTTCCAAAAACTCAACCATTGAAAACTCCGTGGAGCACAGTTTTATTCTAATAATGCACATGAGGTTGCCATGAGTCAGTCATCTTGATGGCAATTGACTTGAAGTCCCTGAGTGATATAAATAGTTAACATGCTTGGCTGCCAGCTGAAAGTTCGCAGGTTCAAGTCCAGAGGTGCCTCAGAAGAAGGACTTGGTGATTTACTTCTGAAAAATTAGCCACCGAAAACCATGTGGAACACAGTTCTACTCTGTCTGACGTACATGGGGTGGCCACGAGTCAGAGCTAACTCCACGGCAACTGGTGCCAGTGGTGTGGTGACAATTTTCTGTGAAATTATTTTCAACTTAGTAGGAAGAACTTCTTGCCAAGATAATCTTGTATCCTTTTCAACAGAGTTTTCCAGAGAATTCAGCTTTCATTTTAAATAGTACAGGTGGTGTTGCAAAATAGATCATTTTTTCCAGACTTTTCTGTTACCCTTAGAAGCCAGCTTATTCCATGCCTAAGGCCCCTGGTAAGTGGGTGGAGGAACAGGTAGGTCTTAGGACCCTTCTCTCAGGACTCCTAGTCCAGTGCTCCTTCTAACCTTCCACCTAAAAATCAGGAGTCAGGCTTTGTTTTCATTTCTTAGGGCTGCCCTAACAAAAATACTGCAAGTGGGTGGCTTGAAAGAACAGAAATTTATTGTCTCACAGTTTGGGAGGCTAGATGTCTGAATCAGGGCAGTGGCTCTAGAGGAGGGTCCCTCCTTGTCAGTAGCCCTGGAGGTTTTTGGTTTTAGGTTGTTCCTCTTTCCCCTGTGTGTATGCTTCTCCCTGTCTGTTTTCCCTTTTTATAAGGCGCTGCTCGGAAGACATTAGGTTTAGGATCCACTCTACTCCAACATGACCTAATTAACCCATGTTCTCCTCCCAGACTGCCCAGCTACATGAGCCCCTCAGCCTCCCAGACGAAGGGAGGGAATGGATGAATCCAGGTGTGTTCAGACTAACTGGGTGGGAGGCAGGGAGGAGAAATATGCTGCAAGGGTCTGAGGGGTAAGAGGGCAGAGCCACCAATGACTGAATTATTTACTAACTTCAAAATTAAGGATTTGTTTCATGATGCAAACGGTTAATGTGCTCAGTTGCTAACCAAAAGATTGGAGGTTTGAGTCCACCCAGAGGCATCTTGGAAGAAAGGCCTGGTGACCTACTTCCGAAAGGTTGGCAGTTCAAACCCACCAGAGGCACCTTGAAAGACAAACCTAGCCATTTGCTTCCAAAAGGTCACAGCCTTAAAAACCCTGTGGATCACAGTTCTCTGTACACATGGGGTCACCATGAGTTGAAATTGACTCAATGGCAGCTAACAACAACAGCAGGGTTTAGGAGATCCTTGGTATTGTATTTGGTATTTAAACTGTGCATGGTGTGTGGTGGTGTTTAAATGATTATAAAGACAGAACCTAATAGGTTCCAATGACATGGAAATTTTTATAAAATAAACTGAAGAACTTGAACAGGTTGAAAAATGAAGGAATAAATAAATGAGTGAAAGTGAACTATTAATTAAAGTGCTTAGAATATTTTGAACACCAATCCATGAGAGTGAAAATGAAATTTCCTAATCCTGTTTGTTAGCAGAAGGAAAACCTATAGTTCTCTTAAGGGGTCCATGTTACCCATTTTAGCATTTTTCAGGGTTTTGACAAATGCAAACATGTCTCTCCCTGTCCAGCTCCAGTGGCTATTGGATAATTATGAAACTGCCGAAGGCGTGAGTCTCCCCAGAAGTTCTCTCTACAACCACTATCTTCGACATTGTCAGGAGCACAAGCTATTCCCTATGAACGCTGCCTCCTTTGGGAAACTGATTCGTTCCGTGTTCATGGGCCTGAGGACGCGGCGCCTGGGAACCAGGTGGGTGGCGGGGAGATGAGACCACGGGTCTGATGCCCCTGATTCTCCCTTTCCTTTAAGTGGAAATTGACCTTTTGGGGAAATGTGGGGTTTCTTCCTTCTGTTGAGGTACCCTAATCTGTACCAGGAAGAGCCTGGAGTCATCCTGAGTTAACTGTGCCCTGGCGCAACCACTTTTGAACTTGACTGCTAGCCAAAAGGTTAGTGGTTCAAACCCACCCATAGATGCCTTGGAAGAAAGACCTGGCAATCTATTTCCAAAGGGTTACAGCTTTGAAAACCCTGTGGAGCATAGTTCTATTCTTTACACATGGGGTCACCAGGAGCTGGGGTCGACTCAACAGCAACTGACAGCAACAGCTATCTTAAACGTTGACAGTTCGAACCCACCCAGCAGCACTGCAGAAGACAGGTTCTGCTGATCCGTTTCTGTGAAGATTACTGCCAGGAAAGCCTGTGCTGCACAGTTCACATCTGGAACATACAAAGTCACTGAATTGGAAATGACTCAGTGGCAGTGGGTTTGAGTTTTTAGTTTTGGGCTGTGGTGGTAGCTACAATCTGTTCTATCCTTTAGAAGCTGGTGATGGGACTTGGGGGTGTGTTCTGGTTACCTAGTGCCACTCTGACAGGAATATACCACAAATAGGATGGCTTTAACTAACAGGTGTTTATTCTTACGATTTGGAAGCTTTAAGTCCAAGTTCAAAGTGCCAGACTCTGGGGGCTGGGTGAAAGCCCCTCAACCTTGGGTTGCAGCTCTGCCTTCTCCTCCCAGCCCACTGAAGCTGAGGCTGACAAACCCAAGGCTGACAAGTAAAAAGGCACAGTCCTGATGTTACCAAACCACACGGCAGGCCATTGATTCCAGTCCATTGAAAGTCCCAGGATCGGCAGAGCATGGCAGGCTGCTGAACAACGACACAGCTACATGCAGGGTTCAAGAGTACCATAAGCTAGAGACCATTCCTCAAGCCTTCTCCTTATATACAGGAAGCAGACCACATCCCTAAGGCTGCTCACAGTAGATTCCACCATGGAGTTAATTACCAGTCTCATCATGGGGAATACTACATCCAGCTGCCCAGCCACTCAACCAGGCCCAGCCAAGTTGACACACAAACTTAACCACCACAGCGTGCTATTCAGTTCTCTCTTCATTTGAAATTTCCCACAATAGCTATTTTTTTTTAAAGCAGTTTCTTGATTATCTAAGTCCTGGGGTGGTCCACACAGTTCACACACTCGGCTTCTAACCAAAAGGTTGGAGGTTTGTTCACCCAAAGCCACCTCAGAAGTAAGGCCTGGTGATCCACCTCCAAAAAAACAACCATTGAAAACTCTGTGGAGCACAGTTCTGACGCACATGGGCTTGCCATGAGTTGGAATCAACTTGATGGCAACTGGGGTCTTTTGAGTTAAACAAAATTAAACAGGTTTCCTCCCTGGGGTCTTCTCAGAGCCTTTATCATACTAAAATGCAAGAAGGGACTCTGTAAGAGGGGCATTTTGGGAATCTCTTCAGCTTGTTTGGCTGGGGAACAGCTCATGAACGTTTTGCTGAGAGCCCAAATGAAAGGCTAAGCAGGTGCCCTCACTTGTGAAGGGCATCCACAGATCGCTGACCACTTAGCATTGATTTCTAGGGGCAACTCCAAGTGTCATTACTATGGGATTCGCCTGAAGCCAGACTCCCCATTGAACCGGCTGCAGGAGGACATGCAGTATGTGGCCATGCAGCAGCAGCCCGTGCACCAGAAGCCCAGGTGGGTGAGCTGGGCTGGGTGGGTGCAGGGGTGTCCTCAGTCACCCCTTGTGGAGGAGGGACCACCCACCTTCTTATGGGGAAAACACTTATGGGGAATGGGGAAATGGGGAGTTATTGGTTAAGGGGTACAGAGTTTCTGTTGGGGGGATAAATAACATTTGGATGTAGATAGTGGTGACGGTTGCACAACACGGGGGCCACTATGTCGCTGAGCTGTACACTTAAAAATGGTTAACATGGTAAATGTTTTTATACAGGTAGTTCTCGGCTTATGAGATATTCGAGTTATGTGAAACTGCACTTATGACTGTCTTTTGTTTTTATCATTATCATCAGTAATATGTACTGTATACAATATTGCAGCACATAATTTGCTGATGTTTTCATTCTCATGCCAAGCCCCAAAGACATATAAATATCATAATTATAAGGATACTGATAATAAAAGGCAATAATAATGAAATCTGGGGGGGGGGGAAGGTATTCAACTTATGTCAGAACCACCTTTTGACAGGGTTGTTGGAATAGAACCGTTTCATAAGTCGGAGAGTACCTGTATATATTTTTACCACACACAAATCCCAAGGGGTATCCTGCTCAGTCCCCTAGTCCCTGGGCCCATCCCAGGCCATACTGCTGGAGCTCATGGTGACATCTGCCCAGGTACCGGCTAGCCCCGAAGACGGACAGTCTCGGGGACAGCAGCTCCAACAGCAGCCTACACAGCACGCCCTAGCAGGCCATGGCCACCCAGAGGCAGCACCACCAGCAGTGCAGAGGTGAGAGCACCCGCCCCAGCGTCACCCTGCCCCAGTGTCACTCCGTCCACCCTAGGGGGCAGAGCCTGCTGTACAACCTTGAGGTTCATTCACCTCCTCTGCAGGCTCCTGGGTTGCAACATCAGCAGCATCTGAAGGGATGTAACTTAAACGGTTTTCTTAACTAAGACTGTTTTAGTTTCCTAGTGCTAACAAAAATACTACAAGTGGGTGGCTTTAACAAACAGAAATTTATTTTCTCACAGTTTAGAAGGCTAGACAGGAGTGCTTGGCGGTAACTGAAAGGTTGGCAGTTCGAATCCACCCAGCGGCTCCACAGGAGAAAGACGTGGCGATCTGCTTCCATAAAGATTACAGACTAGGAAACTCTATGGGACAGTTCTACCCTGTCACATGGGGTCACTATGAATTGCAATTGACTTGATGGCACCCAACAACAACAGGAGGACTGAAACCCAGAGACACTGATAAGGAAGAAGCCACAGCTGGTCCCAGACTGAGCTCAAGCTTGGAACAACACGTGCTTCCCCGTCATTCCAATACAGGACTAAATAAACTGTTGCAGAACACAGAAAAGGACAAAAATGTCCCAATAAGTTTTAGGAAGGTAGCTTAACCTTGGCTCTAAAAGTTATGAAGATTGCATAAAGATGCAATTATTAATGAAGCATAATATCACCATGAACAAATAAGGAGGAAATGTAAAATCTAAGATGATTCTCCACGCAGATTCAAAACGTCTTTAAGTTCTAGCTCCATTTAAATAAATGGAAACTGGAATCTATACAAGAAACATTCGAAGTGTGTTTAATGCAACAAAAAACTCCAATCAATGGAAATCTCCCTTTTTCAAAAGATTGGTGAATGTTTCTAGTTAAATATTTGAAGTAATATTTTTGGATCCCCACTTTTACTCACTCTTAAACCCATTCACTCCTATGAGTACATAGAGATAACACATTTTCTGCCTCTGAGGCAGCTTTTTACCGCTTATAATCCATGCTGGCATCGGGGTCAGGGTGGGGACTTGCATAACAGAAGTTTGTCGGCACCATATTGCTGGGTTGAGAGGTTACTATATGAGGTGCTGCATCCTGGAGGAGTGATTGTGTAAAACATTTGTCTCTTTGGGCTTCTGTACAACGAGATAAGGCTTCTAAGTATATTTACTGTTTCTTGTGTGTTGGAAAGGTACGGTTTTTGGGGTTATGTAATATTCAAGTGAATAAGTTATTTTCAGGCACAATACAGCGTAAGCACGCATTGCAGCGTACTTGACGTGTACTGTAATGACCAATGGTACATATAAGTACCACTTACTTATATGTATTTTTTTCACCTCGTGGTTTCTGAACAGCAAGATAAGCCTTATAAGTATATTTACAGTTTCTGTGTGTTATTGGGAAGGTGCGGTTTTGGGGATTAGGTGATATTCGAGTGAGTAACTTATTTTCAAGCGTAATACAGTGTAAGCACACATTGTAGTATCCTCGACGTACTGCATGTACATTTCATGCAGTTGTCAAAGACCTATCTTCTGGTTTATGAGATGTAAGTTGTTTTTCAGTAAGATGTAATTTATTGCAATAGTAATGCTCCCATGACAGCAGCTTACTGTGGGCCGGGAAATCAAAACAAGAGGAAGACCCTCCTTTCTTGTCAGGAACAAGCCAGGAGTCAGCGGGGTGCCAAATGATGTCCGGCTCCGGCAGGTTGGAAACCATTTACCTGTCAAGGGAACCAGAAGGTGATGCAGAGAATGCAGCACTAAGGAGAAGCAGCCTCGAACAGCAATCATGTGCAGCCAGTGCAGGGTGCCTTTATGTGTTACCCTATGTTTTCAAAAGTTTCACTCAATAAAGTAAAATTGCTAAGATCAAACAATATTTTCCCTGCCTTATTCCACCTGTTCTACCTCCGGAGCCCACTGCTACATTTGTGTACCACTTAATAGTACTAAAAATCCATCATACATAACAAAAAATTATCAACAATCCATGATTGAGCAAGCGTTCCATTTTTGAAAAAACATTCCATCACCCAAATATTGCAAACATAAAATGATTCAATTATGAAACAGAGAAGAAAAAAAAAAAACTGATCCCAGTCAGGTCAGAGAATAAGGCTTATTATAACCTTAACTGAAAAAGCAAATGTTACCCTAACAGAATTGAGATTGTTTATATAAATCCAAAACCAACATTATACTTGAGGAATGAATCTGTAGTCAGTCTAGTGTAATCAAATATGAGAACAGTGAAAAGGAGGAAAATAAGAAGTACAAAAATTGAGTTATCAGACCAATTTTTATTTGCAAATGATGTAAATGTCTACATGAAAACTCAAGAGGATCCACTGAAGAGCTTAGATATCAAAGGTTTGATGTTACCTCCTCTAGAATATAACCTATCTATTTTCAAGGCTGGCTTTTTAATTGTTATGTAAAATTCATTCCAGTTAGAATCTGTAATCCAGTTTCAAGTTTCTAAATTTGTTTGCTAGAAGATACTAAGATTCCTTGTGTCTGATATTCATTCTTTGGCTAAAGGATTGTTAGTTTTTAAAATTTTGTTTAAATTATGCACAGGAGAAGCCATCACTTTCTACATGCACAGTTCAGTAATATGACGCTCTTCACATTGTGTCGTTCTCACTTACCTCTACCAATTTTGTTTCACCAACATTGACTTAGATTCACTACTCTCTGAACTTCTCATGTATGCTTTAGAGATATTGTTGACAATTTGATCTCATATAGATAATTCTTTTAAAAAGCACAATGTTTGTTCACGGCAAACATTCTTTACTAGTTCAGCTAAAAAGTTGTTTAGTTTAAAGATGACTTCAGGGGATAATTTTGGTTCGTGGTTTGAGGATTTTCTCACAGCAATAGATTCAGGGTTTCCTCCAGTTTCAGTAGGTCCATTAAGTCTGCATTGTGTAAGCATTTGAACAAACATGATAAACTCTTGGTAAGCATACAACTAAGCTTGTGAAAACAAATTGGTGTTAAGGCACAACATGGGCATTTTAGGTGCTCTTTGTGCAATCTACTTCCGTAGTGATACTGTCTCAGAAACCCAAGGAGGGGTTGCTATGAGTCGGGTCCAACTCGATGGCACATAACAACAGCAACATATTTTACAGAGGGAAGAGAGAGCGGTGGTACCCAGCCAGTCAGTTAAATGTCAGTTATTCCACAGATTCTACTACATATAAATAAATAGCCTAGATTAGATTTTGAATTTTTCCAAATCCCTTTTGACACATACGGAAATCATTAATTTTTTTCCTATCAGCTATTAATTTACTTTTATAATACTTTTTTTTTCCCCCTGATGAATTCTTCTTGTGTTCTTGGAAGAATCCTGTTTGCTTATGTCAAGCTGTTCAATTTAACGTGCCAACATTATATGAATAGGTTTAGCAACAATACACAGAGTGAGATTGATCTTTGGTGCCCTTTTCATACAATTTTGGAAGATTTTGGAGTTAAGGTTATGCTAAATCCACTGCTGTGGAATAGAGTCTTTTCCAACTCATAGAGACCCTATAGGACAGAGTAGAACTGCTCCATAAGGTTTCAAAGGCTGTCTGTCTTTACATCTTCCTCCCGTGGAATGCCTGGGAGATTCAAACTGCTGACCTTTAGGTTAGCAGCTAGCACTTTAACCATTGTACTACCAGGGCTCCTCAAGGGTATACTAGCACTTTATTATGGATTGGGACACTTTACTCTTTTTCTATGCTGCACAACAGTTTAAATGATACTGGAATAACCTAAGAAGTCTACATAAAGTCATTCCAAAGTTTGCCCTCATGTTAGGTCACTATGCTGCTGTCCTTCACCAGCTGCTCAGAGGTTTCTGGAAATTGTTGTTATACTCAGAATGTGTGAGATGTTGAAGTCTTCTCAGTCTCCAAAAATGTTGACTGCAAGAATAGGTGATAATTAGGAGCAGCTCAAATTCTCTGAAAGCAAGTCATTTTAGACTGTTTCTCCCTGGATTGTAGTTAAGGAATTGTCAAAGGGAGCAAATGACTTCCAGTTTGCAGGACCTTAACTTTGGGGGTTTTCTTCATTAGTAAGAAAGACCAAATTGGTCAGGTCAGAATGCCTGGATTCAAATTGCCGATTACTTCCTCATCTAAAGGGATTAGTTTGTTGAGGGAGTCATGGTGTGACAGTACCTGTCACACCTGGGAGGAGTTTCCTCTCCAGTCACATCAAACAATTAGTGTCAGCTGGCTGCTAAGGATCTTTAACAATATTCTAAGCCAGAAAACTAAGCCGCTGTGAGTAGGATTCGAACCTACGCAGGAAAACCCCATTGGATTTCAAGTCCAACGCCTTAACCACTCGGCCATCACAGCACCTGCTTTAGGCTGCCTATATTCTGTATACATCGTATCAGTCATAATGTTTTGATTCAAGATCCCAGTGTTTTGGAATTCGTGAAAAGGTTAAAATTAATAGGCTACAGGATCTGAGAAAAATACAAACCCTGAGAAACACACATTGTCCTGAGATAGAGGACTCTCAGGTAAAGGAAAAAGCATCACTATAAAAACCACAGAACTCCTCGCCTGCTTCCCCAAGTTTTTCTCTGCCAAGTTCTAAGGGATTGAGAATTGGATGTTCAGCACTGGATTTGTGCTGACCAGACAGGGGCCCTCCGAGAGGCTTCACTGGAACCCATCTTCTTGCCTGTTTTTTCTTAAAACTTGCAAACCCAGGAAAACAAGGCAGTGTCATTAAGGTCTGGCTCTCACAGGTTTCACTGTACAATATTAGGTCATCATTAGGGCAAAAAATACAAAAGTATAACTACAAAATTAAATATAAATTATTTAGAATGACAAATGACAAATCTTCAAAAGTTGATAAATATTATGGATACCACATACAATATAATTTTAAAATTAAATCAGCGATACACCTCTGTAATACTTTTCTCCTACATTATGTGGCTGCATTTTGAAGGGAAGGCTTTGAACAACCGAAGTTTATTGTCCCATTTCTGGAGGCTGGTTATCAGAACTCAAAATGTTGGCAGTGCCATGTTCTCTTGATTTTCGTCTAGAGAGGAAGATCTTTTCCTGGCGCCCAGCTCTGGGAACCCCAGGCGTTCCTTAGCTTGCAGCCTAACTCTGTTGTCACATGGCT